TATTTATATATATTAATAAGCATGAAGGCATTCATAAACAATGCACTTTACCCATTCCCTGCCGGTAGAGCAGACAAACGGTTGCAGCCACAATGAAAAACATTATGTTAGAAACTCAAAAGAAATAACGTGCAGCCCTCCACTGTGAATATAAATGTGAATGTGTGAATATGAATGTGATATATGTGCCGCTCAGACTGATATCGTTTAATGGCACAATCCATATGTATGTACATAGGTGCATATGTACTTGTCCAAGTGATACATACTCGCGCATGGCGTTTATCATACAAAGTTCAACATTCGCCGGTTCAATGCATTCGCATGCACCATTAGTTCCATTGTGATTAAAAAAGAAACACAAATAATAACAATAACAATAACAAGGAACAATACCCTATRTACATATGTGCTGCCAAATGATATGAATATGCATGCAAGAGTCAAGTCAGAGTCAATACAGTGGCATGAGCACGTAGTTAATTTAAATCGATTTATATATGCACCCAGATATATATACATATATATATGGGCAATCGCCAAAAATGCCTTAATTGAAATTAAGTAGAAGCAGCCAGTCATTGTTTCATTTAGGTTAAGTACATATGAAATCCATCGTTATCAGTATTTACAGCTTTGACGCAGCGATAAAGCTGTAAATAGCCAAAGGCCTAAATATTCTGGGTTACAGACTTCTCGAATTGTGCACCCGACCAATTCGCAGTATCAGTCTTCAGTACCAGCCAGTGTCACGGAGTTGAGCACTATTTCCGCTGCAGATATATATAGTCTGATAACATTGATGCGACTCCTATTCATTATCTAAAGCTCGTACAGCGCAACGTGCTGATTGCAAAGCTAGTTCGTTTCGGTTACGCAGTCGAAAGCTTCGAGCCGGGCTCTTGCTTTCCGTAATTGTGCGAGATAGTTGTTGTCCGCTCGTAGGCTGGTCGCATACTACTCAGAAATCAGTTACAATTCTCAATTTATTACTCACAACGAGCTGAGATGCGAAGTTTTTTATAACGAATTCACTTCAGTGAGAAATTTGTATATAGATCGCGTTACTGTGCCCGATCGAGAGAAATAATACGAGTTCGTATGTTTAATTGAAGCTGAACATAGAAGCAATTTTATTTTCACACAAATTCTGGGGTCGTCAGTGCGTGCTGAGCATCAGAACAGAACAAGTGAATCACTCTTGAATTATGTATAAAATGTGTACAAGCTCTGACATATATGAAATAATTATAAACTAGAAAAAAAAATAAATAAATAAATAGTAAAAAACAAAAAATTCGAAAAACCAGATGGTTGAAATCAGTATTCTTGCTCAAATAAAAATGTCAAAATTAGTAAAAAAAAAAAATAAAATTAAGTAAAAAAAAAATGATTTTAGCTGTATAGAATTTTGTTACATAGTGTAATCAGCAGATTTAAATTATATATAATATGTATTTATGAATGTGAATAAGATAGGATTGTTCATAATTTGCTGATACTTCATGGCATAGATTAACTATAATTATAAAATTTCGACAGTCCGAATGACTGTGAGCACAATTCCAAGTAAAATCAAATGAGCTGTTATTTCCGACAATAGGATAATTATAAACTAATACGAGTATACCGCACGTTTTTTCTTAATTCCCATGTTTATATAAGTGATTGCTAAAATAATGAACGTCACGCTAAGGTTATCATATTGATAGCCCGTCTATAATGTAAATCCAGATCTGTAACTATTTCAAACTTCTATAATCAATACAGCTGGACGTAACAAGCAAAAAATGCCTTTTTCCGATTTCCTATAAACACTTAGGATGCAGTGCAATCATCATCTACGGGGAGCCACATGCTCTCAAAGTGGCAGTTCGTTAGACTACAGCAGCGATATAAACGCTATTAGCGTGGAACTGCCGGATGCTGAAGATAGTCAATCAGTCAATGGATTGAAGTATTTACCCCTCTGGCCAGCGGTAAACATTGAATTTTCTGGCCTGACCTACGAAGTGCCTGATCAGCGAAATGGTAAGCTTTACTTCATCATTATTATTATTAACTTAGAACTTTAGATAGTCATGTATTCGATCCCAAGCTGATGATGGGTAAAAGAAATTCTCCTCCTGCTTTTAGTAAGGCCATTGAGGCATGGTCCTTGATTTTACCTATGGTTTATATTCGTTTATAATATTTTAAAACTTATTCATTTATTTGCATCAAGCCCAAAAGACAAAACAAATTTTACGTGACGTGAATGGCGAGTTCCGATCTCACGAGCTAACCGCGATCATGGGACCATCCGGAGCAGGAAAAACAACGCTATTGAATTTACTTGCTGGATTTGGGTGAGTAAAGTTATAGAACTCAATCAGAGAAAAATAAGTATGCGATTGGCATTTTCCCAGTAGGTCGATTGACCCATCTGGTAAAATTCTGGTCAACAGCAGCCCACGCAACATGCGAATCTTTCGCAAAATGTCACGATACATTATGCAGGTATTTATATCCAATTTATTCAGTCAACGGAGTGTAACAATTTTATTCAATATTACACAGACAGATATACTCGACCTGCAGTTCACCGTGCGAGAGCTGATGCTCTTAGCGGCTAACTTGAAGCTAGGTAATGAATTAAAATTAGCTCAAAAGCTGGAAGTGGTAAGCGGAATAACAAGATTTCAACTCACTTAGCTCAACTACACGTATGCCATTTGCATATAGATCGAAGAAATCTTGGGCATGTTGCGCTTAACAAGTGCACAGAACACAAAGGCAGAAAAGATTTCAGGTGGAGAGCGAAAACGGCTTTCGATAGCGCTGGAGCTGGTTAACAATCCACCTATTATTTTTTTGGATGAGCCAACAACGTAGGTTTCAGAAAAGATTTTTGGAGATATTATTATTGTATTCTCGTTCTTACAGTGGCCTGGACGACCTTTCGAGCTCACAATGCATTTCACTTCTGAAAATGTTGGCAAACGGCGGCCGCACCGTCATCTGCTCCATACATACACCTTCCGCCAAGATTTTCGAAATGATTGACAAAGTGTACGTGCTCGCTGAGGGTCAGTGTATTTATCAGGGGAACGGAGCGAACATTGTGCCTTATATGAATCACATCGGACTATCCTGTCCGCTCACGTACAATCCAGCCGACTTTATAATCGAAGTAGCGTGCAATGAGTACGGCAACAACTATCACGAACGCATGGTGGCGGCAGTGAACAATGGAAGAGTGGGACGATGGGTTCCACCAGTTGTGAATGGCAAGGATACACCAACAAAGTCGGATACAACATCTGGCGCATCCTCATACAGTGATATGGAACAGTTCGAGGAGGAAATCAGCCCGAAATTGCTTATATCCAAATCCACCTGGTGGATGCAGTACAAACTGCTCCTCTCACGAATGATGCTTCAAATGTGGAGGGACAAAGTGAGTGCGAACGATATGAGATATATGATGTATGATGTAACAAAAATATTTTAAACTTCAGTCCTACATCAAGCTGAAATTTTACATGAATATAATTCTTGCGTTGCTCGTTGGCGGCCTCTATGAAGGAGTGGGACGACAAGCATCGAAAGCTCTATTTAATTTTGGATTTATGTTCACCATTGTCATAGCTTATTTGTATCTGCCCATGATGCCAGTGCTGTTACAATGTAAATCCACATGTTTTTCAACGGTAGCATTTCTTGAATAATCTTTTGAATTTTTGCAATTACAGTCCCCACTGAAATCAAACTCTTGAAACGCGAATATTTCAATCAGTGGTATCGATTGAGTTCTTACTACGCCGCAATGATCTCTGCGAAGTTACCCTTAATGTTTGTACTTGCCGCCATCTATTTATCAATTGTGTACTTAATGTCTAGCCAGCCTTTAGAATGGTTCCGATTCGCCATGCTGTTCAGTATAGCATTCCTAACGGCCCTTACCTCAGACAGCTTTGGCCTTATGATATCTAGTAGGCTCAGCTTAGTGGTGAGTACTAATGATTCATATATTCTACTTATCATAGCATCAACTATAAATTGCAGAATGGCATGTTTATGGGGCCTGTTATTGCCGTTCCCCTCATTCTACTTTCTATTTATGGCATGGGGTACGGTAAGGATACGTACATCTCACCTATTATGCGCTTCTTGATGTCCCTCAGCTTCCTACGTCACGGCCTGGAGGGTCTAGTAGCCGCTTTATACGACTACGGGAGAGGCGATACAATTTGCGATACCGAAATTTTCTGCATGTTTAAGAAATCGCAATTTTTACTAGTGTTTCTAGGATTTGAGAACATAAGCTATTTGTGGTCTTTGAGCTGCTTATTTGGATTCTACATTGCCTTCACAGTTGCTGCATATCTGTTGTTACGTCATCGGTTAAAACAATCGGTTGCAAATCCGATTATAACTTATGTCACGCATATTCTGACGAAATATTTCAATTTCACCTCTTATAAATATTAAATACTTGACATCGGGAACCTATAGATATATTTTTGTTCTTTGTGAATAGAAATTAAGAAGTCGCATAAATAATGTAATTAATATAAAAGATCTTGTGATAAGTTTCGCGCGTCCCAAATGCTGAAATGCTCAAGACGCACTGACGCTATCGGAATGTATGAAGAGCATAAGCATCACATTGTCCCATGTATAGCTTGATTTATTTTGCCAACACTTTATATAACTGTGTTGGGAGAAGCTAATATTCAAATAAATAATATAAGTGATATTATAGAAAATATTCTATTAAAATAAAGATAAGGAGCATTATATAAAATACAGATGGATAAACAGTTTATATACAATACAAATGAATGGACAGCTTAAATAAAATCTTAGTGTTTTGCTATTCTACTTACTAATATCTATTCCACGACTGCAAATGCAATTAGAGGTGCCAAACTATCGATGGTGGGCCCCATCGATTGAGGACGATAGTAATTTCCAAAGCATCGATAGCGGTCGATAGTACCATCGGTTGTGGTCGATAGTCGCAATAGAAACAGTGATTCTTAGCCTTAAAAATTTGAACACTTCAAATTTGTGAAATTACATTTTAAGATAAAAGCTGAATTGACTTAAAAGCTAAAACCTAAAAACTATTAAGTTATGGTTTTTATTGTAGTGATCGATTTTTGTTGTCTGCAAATAAGTTAACTCACACAATAAAAACGACAGTCAAGTCAAGCACTGATCGTTTGCTTGAGTTAAATGAATTGAATTAAGAAATAAGAGGTTAGAGTTTTTGCAATGCGTTGTCAAAATACTTTTGTCCTCTATTGTATGTATGTATGTATTTGCAAGCACACGAAGATCATTTCTGTTTTTTAGTCAAACTGTCTTTTGCTGAGAGTCATTGTGTAAGCGAAAATTGTATTACTCTTTACGCGACACTCATTTGAGATCGTCACACCAATGAGTCAATGCGAAGCTTTTGACCAAAACCGATGCAAAACGAAACAAATAGAGCCGCCCATAGAGAGATTGTGTCTGCAGAATCTTTTTGGTTATGTTATGAAGAGCGTATTCGAAAAACGATCAAGCTATGATACAAAATTAAGAAAAATTATAATTATTAATCACGCACCTTTGACGATATTATCGCCCACTATCGAGACATTGAACCATCGATAGTTTAGTCGCTCGATAGTGCCCGACCATCGATAGCGACGATAGTGACATCGAAAGTTTGGCACCTCTAACTGCAATCCCACACACACGCACACTTTAAGCCTTAAAAACAAAAGCAAAAAAGTATACTATATATTAGCACTATATTTGGCTGCGTAGACACCGATAAACAATAAAAGGCACAAATAAAATACGCTTTATACACATTATTCACAATATTTGTTGCAGACTAAAAGCACAATATTAACACTATATGAAATATCTGCATAATACAACACAACTAAAATTTGTCACTCACACCATTATGCTGTTCAACCGTTAGCGATCTCATTTGATCCGCTCTTTTCATATTTTATTGCTTTACAGCACTTTGCGCAGCGATTCACGATAATTATTTAAGCTTGTCAAATGGTTTTTTGCTGTGACACTCAACTGTTGTCAGCTGCTTTGGCGTTGTCACTTATTAAATTCTGAAAATCGAGTAAATAACGCATTTATGTATTTTGAAATGGAAGCTTAAAAACGGAGGCTTTGCTTAAAAATTTAATTTGATTTATGATTGCTTATTATTTTCTTTCTTTGTTTGTTTATGCAATGCATATTAAAATAAAAAAAAAAAATTTATTAAATTGCCTCGATACGCGGACATTCTGACAAATGCACCGAAACAAACAATGGTCAATTTGTAATAAAAAATAATGTACAATTATAAAAAATATATATTTATACAAGCATTAAAATATTTAATGAATTGTGTCGATAAATCCGTCAAATAAAACATTTCTCAATTTGTAATAAAAATAAAGATAATTGTCTATATATTACCGTTACTCAATATATACTTTCACTAATACAGCGCATAAAACGAAATTCACACACACACACTCTTACTCATATTAAAGAGTACGAGTCTTGTAACTAAAAGAAAAATATAAAAAAAAAGGTTCCATGTTCACAATATTTTTCACGATACCATGCATTCACAGCATAAGTACAACATTTACACTTTTATAAATATTAGCACTCACATAATTATGCAAATTTCTTTAATTTACCACGACGAACCATTTCGATGCCATTTATTCCGCGCTTTTCTGACATTCGCGCTCATTTGCTATTAAGAAATCTCTGTCTATCAAAGGCTGCTTGCTGTGATAGTCGAGAGGTACGTTTGTGTCAGGCAGACTTTAGTCAGCCATAGTGTAAGCTTGTGCAAATAGGTTTTCTATTTATGTGAAACTGTAAATATTAAATGCATAACATGGCAATACAAAAAAAAAACCTTTGAAACAATTTCATGGTATAGTTGTATTTTAAAAATATATTTTTGTAAAGGAAAATACGGCAAATACAAAACTTGGTAAGTCTAGTAATGTACAATTAGGTTTGTTTAAAAGTTTGATTAAATACCAACATCGACAATCGACAACATAGTAATTTATAAACAATCATGAATATTACAGTCGCGAGTACTCGACTTATAAAATACCCTATACCCGGGTCTGAACCATCTATTATAACACGAGCTTGGCAAGATCGAATTCAATATTATTGTAGAACCGATAACTCTTACTGCCTGTTTACAATAGCACCATATGTGTGAACTGAATAACCCATTTAATAGGGGCAGAGGGTACTTAAATATTCAAAACATTAAAAAATTACTATTAATATTAATTACATTTTATACAATTTAAAAAAAAGAAACGGGAAATGAACAGTCGTGATGTGGCAGGTTACAAATCGATCAAATTATAACTGCAGCTCATGAAGTGGTTGTTGAGCTCGCTCTACTGACAGTACATATACATATGCAAATATAATCCATACAACTAAACTGTAGTATTAATGGCTGCATACACACATTGCGTATGAACAATAAAGGGGTATATTATAGATTATTAATGAAAGCCTAAAAAGCTGCCAAGCCTATTGCCGGCATCTCTTACGATTTTAACTAAAAACTAAAAATTACGTTTCTGCTGTTGTTGTCTCTTTGCACGTCCTTAGCTTTTTAGCACACGGCGACTGCGGTAATGGGGTGTCGGCATCTAGTCAATTGATCTCCAAATGCTTTGCCTGCTCCCACGAGAAACCATCGCGTCCGAAGTGGCCATAAGTGCTGGTGCGCTGGTAAATTGGCTGGCGCAGGTTCAGGTCTCTGTATATTAGAAAAAAAGAAAATACAGAGTCAATAAATGATGTTAACATCAATTTATATAATTCCATATATCACTTACTTGACAATCATGCCTGGTCGTAGGTCGAAGTTACGCTTTATTATTTCTAGAAGCTCCTTTTGTGACTTGTGTGAAGTGCCGTAGTCAAAGACGGTTATGGAAAGTGGCTCAGCCAGGCCAATGGCATACGACACCTGCACCAAGCAACGCTTGCAGAGACCCGCCTTGACCAGTGATTTGGCTACCCAGCGTGCAGCATAAGCCGCCGATCTGTCGACTTTGGTGAAGTCCTTTCCAGAAAATGCACCACCCCCATGTGCACCCCAACCGCCATATGTATCGACAATAATCTTACGGCCAGTCAAACCAGCATCGCCCATTGGACCGCCAATGACGAACAATCCACACGGATTTATGTGGACAATGGTGTTGGCATCAAAATATTTGGCGGGTATGACAACTTTAACAACTTTCTCCATGACTTCCGAGCGAAGAGTGTCCAGCGATATTTTGTCCGAGTGCTGCATAGACACAACAACAGTATGCACACGCTTGGGCACTGCCGAGCCCTGATTAAAGAGATACTCGCAGGTGACTTGTGTCTTAGAATCTGGACGGGCCCACCAAAAAACTTCCGAGCGACGCAACTCGGCAATTTTTTCGTTCAGTTTGTGCGCCAGCACGACCGTTAGGGGCATACATTCCTCTGTTTCATCAGTGGCATAGCCAAACATAATACCCTGTAATTGGTCGAAATGGCAGTTGAGTGAGAAGTGCAAACACTTTACTTCGCAAGCAAAGGGACATTCATATTAGTACATTGAAAGCAAATAGGCAATTTAATTTTATATTTTAAATTCAATGTTATTAAGCAACATACATAAAATAGGATAATGGGGCATGAAAAAGTAGAAATTGACGTGACTATGACTTCAGATCTATCATGAAAAACATGCATGATTTACCAGACCAAATCAAATATATATTAATGGTAATGTTAATGTTAATAGTGTCAAATTAAAACTTCGTGTGAGCAATTTAATTTGTTGTGAACTCTAGATGCTACAGATATTTTATGGAAGAATGTTAGCAATGCAGCTTTATAAAAACATTCAAATCTCTTTAATATTAGTTACGCATATTAAATAAGAATATAATGTAGCATATACTACATATGTTGATATGCGATTAATACACTCTTTCCAAACAAATTTCGGTTTGGGACGAATCGAATCGAACCGAACCTAAGGCTAGGCAATTGGAAAGGGTATATTGGCTCGGCCTGCCGAGGCATTCAAATTTGGTACTTGATATAATTCACACCTGGTCTCCAGCACCGATTTCTTCCTCGGGGCGATTTACATGCACACCAGCAGCGATTTCGGGAGATTGTTGGTCCAATGCCAAGAGAACGTTGCATGTTTTAAAATCGAAACCTTTTTGGTACATTTTACGAATTGAATTTTAAGGTTTCATATGGTAAATGTTTGGATTTTTTTTTTTATTTTTATTTTTATATGAAACGAAAAAGATAAAAAGTAGAGAGCGCAGCGCAGTTTAAATAAAATAAGTAATGGTAAGTAATGTTAGTTATGATTTGTCCCCTTAAAATTACGTTGTTTTTAGTACAGAATGCATATGCACGAATGTATGTAAACAAACACAACATTGTTCCGCTTTATAATTCATGTGGATATACTGAAATTCGAGTCGAAATCATCAGTCTTAGTCTAGCCTAAGGACTTATCCATTAAAAAAAATCATGCAAATTGGGTTAAGGAGCGATCTTGCCTCAGTTGCTTATCGGATATCTATCTATTGGAACACCATGAATGGAGTCTTATTAAAAGGAATCTGCTTTTCTTTTGAAAAATAAGGCAGGTCAATTCCGAGTTATGTATATATGAATATGGATTGATTCTAAACAATTTTTGGCATTTTCCATCAATGAATTCCAAATTTAAAATGTATATTAATTTCTCGAATTAATATTTGTACAAAACATTTTTTGGAATGTCAAACTGTAAGCGAAGTTAACGAGATAATGAGTTTGGGGTGGCGATCAGAGCAGAGCAGATATGAGAAGAAACATACAATTTAGAGTAACACTTAACAAAATTTGAACATAACAATGAAACGCACAGACTCTTCGGCTTCACTTAGTTTTTAATTAGGGTACAGGTTGTATGTTGGTATACCTGATCACCAGCGCCGACATCCTCTTCTTCACGATTAATGTGCACACCGTTGGCTATGTCGGGAGACTGTTGTTCAATGGCAACGAGCAAGTTTAGCGTCTTCCAATCGAAACCTTTTTATTTTGGGTTGATTTGTATGGGGTTTGAGTGTTTGTTGGATTATATTATATTTAAAATGTGCACTTCAATTGGGAAACAATGCGCTGTTATACGCTGTTTCTGCTGCCCACCCACAACAGGACGGTAACGAGAACGAGAAAAAGTCCTCATCTTTCTACGGTAAACACTTACCCTTCGAGGAATCGTCATAGCCAATGTGCTGGACCGTTTCGCGCACAACCTTTTGGTAGTCGACTACGGCCTTTGATGTAATTTCGCCGCAGAGCAGAATCATGCCAGTTTTTGCCACAGTTTCTATTAAAAATAAAAAGGAATTTTCAAAATATTGCAAACTCTTGTTATTTTTTATAGTTTACTTAATTATTATTAGTGTTTTTGTTTATATTCCAAATTGGCCCTATCGACGATTAAGAACAGCACACACGCGTCGATCGGCCGAAGAGCCAGAATTCTTTATACTCGTTCATGATCTGAAGTAGAGTATATTAGCTTCGCAATATGTCTATCCTGTCATCCGTCAGTCTGTCTGTATGTAAACCGAACATTTAGAAATAGCCCAGCTTTAAGCTAGATCTACTTGATCCCAAACAAGCATTAGGCAGTCGGTTGCGCCTAAATTACTTGTTCTTTTTTGTTTACAAATGTGTTTGTTTATCAACCGTCTGTCGAATGTATAGATGCTGCGGCATACTGTCGCTTTGAGTAACATTTCGAAAATTTCTATAACTACCCATCAGACCTAACGGGTTCTTATCATTACTTATTTCGCATTTAATTTATATACTTACCACAAGCGACTTTAGCATTGGGATCCTGTCGAAGATGGGCATCCAAGATAGCATCGCTAATTTGATCGCACATTTTGTCTATAAAAGAAATGTAAATTAAAATGTTGTAAGAATCATAATGTTGTTATTATTATGAGTTATATTAGCACATTATCTACATTTCACATGGCGATGTGAAAAAAGTGTATAAGAGCAGCCAGATAAACCTTCGGACTCCAACTCCAACGCCAACGCCAACGCCGACGCCGACACCAGCTAAAATTGACAGACAATGCAATTTATTTTGATTTTTATTTCGCGATTGACAGCGAAATTGAATACCATATAGAATCCTAAACATGAGAATTGAATTTTTGGCGTCACGTTTATGCTCAGAGTCGGTTTAACAAGAAATAAGAGCTGCACGAGCTTGCGAAACAAGCCATGTAGGTTTCAGTTTACATTTTCCCCTATAGAATCTTACTCAGCTCATTGCAAAAATACCCAAATACAAAAAAGTGTTCAATCATTCCAATGGCGCATCACTTAGAATTCGTTCAACTTATAATGATATTACTAATCTCCATCTATATAAATTCTTTTTTTTTTTTTAGTATAGAGCAATAGGCATCCCCTTTGGCATTAAAGGTGCCGAGAATACTGATAACCCCAGACTAGATGAGACTGTTTAATTCAATGACGATTGAAAAAGGCCCAAACGAAAGTGCCTCATCACGTCCTGTACATGTTGACAGATCCCTATTTGGATGATCAACATTTTACTAGACTTTACTTGATGTGGGACTATATACGACTCAAAATATTGTCAGTAAGGGTACAATTTTGGCACAATACCTCATCCATCAAAGTCCATCCCTGACATACTATTTGTTTGATACCAACGTATTTCAGTTTATTTTACCATGTAACCAAACTTAATTAGCTTCGTTTACTCTTATCGCTAGACTTTATTAATACAGTGTTTATAATTACATTTAAATGGGCAGTATTAATATACATATATGTACATATGTATATACAAACTTCTTTCATTAAAATAAAAGAACAGGTAAAATATTTAGTATGTATTATACGAATGTAGGTATGTATGTATGATTATCATAAAATTGAACCACGTGGTCACCGAAATTCGCAAATTGTATACTTTGCAAACACATTATGAAGAAAACAGATTGATATTTGTCGAACTTGAAATTGTAACTACATACATAAATGTGGATACTTCTACATATGTATGTACATATGTACATAGTAAATATGTATGTACCTACATATGTAGATAAATACATTTGCCTAAACATTTTTAACTCTTTATTGTTGAATTTAAATTCGTAAATGTGCATATGTATATATATTTGTATGCGATTGTTTTGATCGGCAATCTGCAAAGAGGAACACATGCCGACAAAGAAGAGAACCGGTAAGTAAGAGCAGCAATCATTATAAAAGCACATGGTGCGCATGACGCAGTCTACAATACACACACGTTTAGACATATGTAAATATATATACATTCGAATATACGTTCTACAATACATACAAACGCATACTTAGGTATGTACATATGTTTGTAGGAAGAACACGTTGCCGGGGCAGCCTCTCTAGCAACAGCACATTAGACCACGAAAGAGCGAGCGACCAGCTGGTAGCTGGTGGGTAGGTAATAGATGAAGGCTGATATGCGTAAAACAGATGCATTAGCATACGAATATACACACAAATATATACAGCAAGACAGATAATAATGAATATATTTATGCATATATGTCTGAATATACATATGTACATACAGATAGATGTGTGAGCATCCCAAAGCTGTAGATTTGAAGCATTAGTAAAATTTGCTTGTTTGGTGTAACTCTATAACACAGAGCTGGTCACACTTATCAATTGCTATTGCTGGTCTGCTGAGTAAACAGCACGTTTTTTCGATGGAATTTTCTACATACTACAACTGATTACATCGAAAAACCACTCAACTCTAGTTGAACATTTTAGCAACAAAACAGAGCCGTGGACTGAAACATTTGTAACAACAAAATTAAATATTAATAAAAGCTGAAAGAAACTATAACATTCACTCATCTGCATATTTGTACCTTAAATTCTACTCTAAATATTAAAATGTATTCTACAAGGGGTACATACATATGTCTATGTACGCATGTATGCATGTATATTTGTGTGCATGCCCGCCGCACATTGTGATGCAATAAGGAGGTCGGTCTGCGTCGGCTCTCTTGCGAATTGATTCAGAATGAAGATGCAGCTAATTTAAGCATATACATATATATGTATATGTATATATGAATTTATATATATTTGAATGCGTTCGCACTTACCTGGGTGCCCCTCTCCCACGGATTCGGAAGTAAATAGGAATGTTTGCCCATCTTCCATATCATAGGAATTGCCATTGCCATTGCTGCCATTGAGCCCGTTGACGCTGGCTGTGGAGTGTCCATTCGTCTTTTGTGGCATTTTGATTGCTGCTTCTTATTCGGTTGTTAAGTAGTTAAAGTTGATACTGTACAAAACAAAAATTCATTATAAGTTTGTTTTACAAAGAAATTGATTTTCCTAAAATCGAATGCAAATAAAATATCGCTGTCGCTTGAGTGCCACTTTTGACTTCTAATACATTTACTTGTAGTGTGTAATTAATATGATTGTTATTTTTATATAATCAGCAAGCGCATTATTCGTTTTATGTTGTGTTTGATGGGAAGTCGCACAGACACCCACACACACAGCAGCAACAAACATGCTTATGTATGTACATACATGTACGATCGAACAAGCATACACACCGATAAACACGCGCGTTAAAGGACGCTACTCACTGATCAATGAAACTGTTATAATGTTCTTAGTAAAGCAAGCGGCACAGGTTTTGTCTCAAGTCTGATACCACTGAATATGTTATAATTTAGCCGACAGGCAGTCAAATTAGCGCAACTAACACGCACGTCCAATCTCGGCGACGGTATGGTAGAAAAAGAGCGCACAATTTTTGCCAGCTATAGAATTTATAGTCGTCAAGCGGGAGCGGAGACCGATGGCGGCGCCGTATGAGAGTAAATTTCTCTCTTCTGCTCTTTGTGGTAACACGTATATATGTACGTATGTGTATGTATGTTTGTTGCTTGTTTTGGCGCTCCTATTTGGAGCTGCAGCCACACTCAACTTTCCTACCGTTCTTAAGCAAACTGAAAGAGCATCTCCACGTTTTTTTACGGCTGTTCGCAAACAGCTGTGTTTGTAATGTGGTGGGTGGATTAGCGTTGCCACACTGTTTCAGTTTACATACACTACAAATATACTAACGCTTGCTATACGCAACTTACATAAAAATATTAAAGTCGGGAATTTGAATTCGCTAAGCTTTGGTGTCGACACTTACTCAAACAGCGTACAATTGGAACTGTCTTCTAACGAAATTCTATTTATTTATAAATATTTGCGTCTGAATCCGGAAAGATGATTTGGCAAAATTAAGGGCTTATCATCATATTATTGATGTACTGATGAAACATGAGAATACCCTGATAATTTACATCTTTTACTTAACAGTGTAATTCAATTTTGAATCTCGTTAGTAGCAAAACAAGCAAACCAAAAACTTTGACTAATTTTCAACAAAATATGAACTGATTTTATTTATGTATTCAAATAAGTGGAATGTTAAGAAATACTTTTCAAACTGCTATACCGAATAAATTTAAGTCTTTTACAGATGCGTCACTAATAGGCACTCGACAACAATATACATTATTTTAAAATAACAAAGAACCATAGAAAGATCGTGTCATGCTAATCACAAACAAGGTCGGCCAAGATCAAGGCGTTCGGTAATCTGCTTCTGCATAATAAATACAAAATCTATTGAAATAGCTGAAATAACAAGCTACATTATCTTCAAAAAGATGTTGACCCCCCAGAAAGATTCGTAGTTGAGCGAAATACCAAATATGTAAAAATAAAAAATAAAGACTAGTAATACTAAATATATACTAATGTTATCATCACATGAGTAAATCGCCACCTTATATATGTAGTTTTTTAGCTGGGATACCCTTATCTTGTTGTTTAAAACCAGTGTGGTAAAACGACGGCAGTAACAGGCCAAAGATAAAACAGCTGTTCATGACGTGTGTTTAGTTCGCTAACTTTAGGAAAATAAATCGCAACGATTTGCGTGCCCTGTGTAATTTTCTACAAAAATGAAAGGGAAACTACTGGCCTTGACGGCCGTTACTATTTTAGTTTTCTTGGCGCAGAAAACTGCAACGTTGGACGCACTAAACGAGAGCACAGATGCCAAGGAACCTACCGACAATATCGAACCGTTGGAGACCAAAGCCCCGATACTTAATGCAACTTCGGTAAATAGCAACGTATCGGCTACTGCTAGCAGTGGCAACGTTTCGTCCGTGGAATTAAGTTCAGCTGCAACCGTGGCGCAAAATGTAAATGCTTCTAATAACGCTACCACCATAGTCACGGAACCATCCCTGATCGACCCACATGCCGTGGAGCAGGAGCACAATTCCTCGCTCTCCCTATTCTTTGTTATTTGTGTTATAATGCTGGGAATACTTTTGATACACTCGATGCTGCAAACGGGTTTCCAATATCTGCCAGAATCGATCGTGGTGGTGTTTCTGGGTGCATTCATTGGGCTCTCGCTGAATGTGATGTCGGCCGAAAATGGCAGCTGGAAGCGAGAGGAGGTCTTCTCGCCCATGGGCTTCTTCCTTGTCCTCTTGCCACCCATCATCTTCGAGTCTGGCTACAATCTGCACAAGGGAAACTTCTTCCAAAACATTGGCTCCATTCTGGTCTTTGCTATTTTCGGCACAACAATATCTGCTCTGGTGATCGGAGCTGGCATCTACCTTCTGGGCATGGCTGAGGTGGCGTATAGGTGCGTATATTTGATCAAGTGGATAAGAAATTGTTTTAATCATCTCTCTCCGTGTAGACTAAACTTTTCCGAATCATTCGCATTTGGTTCTCTCATTTCGGCGGTTGATCCCGTGGCTACTGTTGCCATATTCCATGCCCTGGACGTGGACCCGATCTTGAACATGTTGGTTTTTGGAGAGAGCATTCTAAACGATGCCGTTTCAATTGTGTTAACTGCTTCAATAACGATTAATGCCAATGCAGACGCAGGCACAGGCGAAGCAATGATGAGCGCCTTGAAGACATTTTGCGAGATGTTTTTCGCTTCGGCTGGCATCGGTGTTATATTTGCCCTTATATCCGCATTGCTGCTCAAGCACATCGACCTGCGAAAACATCCTTCGCTGGAATTCGCAATCATGCTGATGTTCACCTACGCGCCTTACGTTCTCGCTGAAGGGATACACTTGAGTGGCATTATGGCCATACTCTTCTGTGGAATCGTCATGTCACACTATACACATTTCAATTTATCGACTGTCACGCAAATTACGATGCAGCAGACGATGCGAACATTGGCCTTTATAGCGGAGACGTGCGTGTTTGCCTACCTGGGCTTGGCCATCTTTTCATTCAAGCATCAAGTGGAGCTGTCATTCGTCATCTGGTCAATTGTGCTCTGTCTGATTGGTCGGGCCTGCAACATATTTCCTCTAGCTTATTTAGTAAATAAGTTTCGTGAGCACAAGATCAACAACAAAATGCAGTTCATCATGTGGTTCTCTGGCCTGCGAGGTGCCATCTCCTATGCACTCTCGCTTCACTTGCATCTTGATAGCCAGGATAAACGACATGTAATTATTACCACCACTCTGATCATTGTTCTCTTCACTACACTCGTGCTGGGAGGCTCAACGATGCCATTATTGAAGTACTTAAAGCCAGGTAAGAAGCGCCGTGCACGTGGATCTGGATCTCTGCGCTCCTCAAGTGGTACCTCACAGAGCACACATCGAAAGCGCAGTAAATCAGTATCCCTGTCGAAGACACGAGAGTGGGGACAAGCCATCGATTCGGAGCACCTGTCTGAGTTAACAGAAGAAGAGGACGTCAGCTTTACACAGGCCCGTGATCGCTTCGGCCGTTTGGATCGAAAGTACTTTATACCTTTCTTCACGCGCCGTTTCAACAGCCAGGAGCTGCACGAGTGCAAATCCCAAATGGCCGATTTGACCAACAAATGGTATCAAGCCATACGAGTTAGTCCCTTGGACTCCGATGAGTCGGACGATGAGATTGGCCTATCGGCCAATACAAGCCAGAGTAATTTGACTCGATCCTAAATCTAAGATGATTCGGCTAAGAAGCTGGCTGTGTAAAAACATTTGAGTGTCCAAAGTATTTGTGTATATTAAGAGCTATTCATATTTATATACCATATAATTTTACTTACAAAAATGTCTACAATTTTATCTGTATGAAGGTGGCAGTCAGTATACGTCTATTCTCCTAGCAATTTATAATTTCCAGCTGTTGGGCTTTTTGCAGTATTTTTACTTATGAATCGTTTTTAAGTCTGCCATTCTGCAAAGAATGTCAGTTAAAGCTTTATCTTATATATATATATACTTGTTTTATTTTATGTTACATGTTGTGTGTAAAAATGTAGTCAAATCCAAATCAAAATATGTGTATTTTATACGAAATAAATTGTGATATAATAAATTGAAATTTATTTGTTTAATATGAAATATGTATGGTTAATGGTAATAGATAATACTTTGGCCGTGTTAGAGTTTCAAATTTGAAAATAATTTTATAGATAAACTCCAAGTTATTTTGTGTTTTTCCAAAAATGTTGCTTTTGAAGACCAATGTGTAGGGAAATTGGGGCGGCGTTATAAAATGAATAACTTTAATGATAAATCGACTTCTGGACAAAGTAGAGTTATACAAAATAATGAGTATGATGTTGATAAATATTTACTTACCTTTAGATATTTTTTGTATGTAGTCCACTCCACATATCTGGGATTAGACTTAATTAAAACTGCATTTAAATATGACTTAAAATGTTTGTTTTATTTTACACGTTGTACAATTATTAGCACAAAATACATAATTCACTCGGTAAAATACAAATTTTTGAGCTGTATTCAGCTGATTGCGAATTGAATATACATATGCATGGGAATGGAAATACATACATACAATAAACTTAACTCAATAGTAATTTAACTTAATTATTCTCCTCATGAGTTTGTAGCATTACAAATCCATCTAATACTTTCACATGAGTAATAATAGAGTTCACTTTATATTATTTAGTTCATTCCTTTGCCTGGACGAACGAGCTCTAGTCTACTTGATATCATTGTCTGATTTCTGTTCTGCCGTTTCGCTTCAAAACTGATTTATGTAACTCCATGGTAATCTTAATTATTTGAACTAGTGCTAAAATGATGTAAATCATGCAATGAATCCTGATACATATTCATATATATACGTATATAAGGTTATGCATACCATGTTCCTGGACAGACACATGACAGCATCAGTTTCATTGTATTACGAATAAGAATGGTGTTGAACAATAATAGTAAGGATATATATATATAAAATGATAAATACACCCAAGAGTATTAGGCTAAAATCCCCTTCACCGGAATCCAGATATAATGTAGTTATATACAAGGTCGGAGTAAATATAATGCTAAGATATAAATGTTGACAATATTTGATACGAATTTTGTGCCAAGGTTCAGATTAACAGAGGGACACATTATAATAGTCGACAACAAATTTATCACAAATTAGAAGAAGCCACAAAGAAGAGTATTGTTCATCAGCTTAGAAATGGGCTACGCCACGCGCGTTCCACTGCCGCAATTTGGGAGACAATCTACATATCATTACGTTAGTAACTTTTACTTACTCTAATATTGCATTTTGAAAGTACTTATACGAATTTCCACGCAAGTAGCAAACTATAGGAATATACAGTACACATACATAAGTCTATAGTTAGGGAATAAATAATTTTAAGTAACATGTCCAAAAATATTAAATACATTTATCGACGCCCTTCAACAAATTAGCTATAGTATAAATATAATAAGATGAAGAACATTTTAACGAGTGAATACCGTATTTTGGGCTATTACCTATGTCGTCCGACAATGAGTTCTAGTGCATATCCATAATTTTTTTGTGCATTGGCATCTTCTACTTATATCATAAGCGTGGCTTTTACTATGATATTATTTCGATACATTGAACTCATGAGAATCCCTCGGCCTTACGCCGAAGGCTCCTCGACTTCATTGTCGATGCGCGATGAGCGTATACCAGACTTTCCAGTCCATGGATAGATGTCGGGGCAAGGCTGACAAGTCTTCATGTAGCGAACGCCTGATTTGTGCCATAGATTGCAAACCTTCGGATTGTTGCAACGCTTGGGTCGGTCCTGTATTGGCATTAGGCAGATATTAGTTAAATTAACAGCAGCTCTCTATATAAGGGCTTGAACGTACCGAGTAGTCGCACTGGAATGGCTGGAAGGAATTGATTCGAGATGTTGGCGTCGGATCGCGCACCCATTGAAGCGCTTGCCAATTGGTAATGATCCAAACATCCGGCATGGCATTTATGGCATCAAGGAACTTAATGAAGCCTTCCTTGTGGTGCGGCTGGGTGAACCAAGCGGCATGATAGAACAGTCCAAACGGTGCTCTGTGACGAAAAAGTGACTTAAGCTTCGGGACCATGCAACAAAGTTTTGTCTACCTATTGGTGGTGTAATGACGCTCAAAGTTCTTCATTATCATTTTGGTGACTCCCTCCGCATCACTCGGATTCGAGCAGGCATCGCCCATAGAACAACGTCCGCCATTCAAGTCCTGCCACATGACCATGGGCACTTGCCAAACACCTGGATAGCTGCGCGTCGGACACGGCGGAATCATACAATCGTGGAAGATCTTGTAGTCCAGGGTGTACGGCCACGAGGGCGGTCGGTTCTCATAGACCGGCATCGACGAGTCGTAGGTGAAATTCGAATCGTACAGCATCTTATACATCTTATTGCCGCCAACTGAGAGGAAAGGGGCTCGCATGCCGCGCACATCCGACAGCTTCACCCCGCCATAAGCGGCGAGTATCTCCCGCTGGCCAGCTATCTCCCGGGTCCATTTCTTTTGTGAGAACTGCTCGCCAAAGCTGTGACTGTGGAGCGATAAACAAATGAGAATTTTAACCTCTAGCACTTTTCTGTTTGCCCGCACATATGTTTCGTTTTGACTTATTAAAGCACCGCGCCCGCTTGTGTAGGATGTGTTCGTGAGTATGGTATAGACGATTTTGGTGTGTACATATATTCTTATCTTGGTGTCGTTGTTGTTGTTTTTGTTGTTGTTGCTGTTGTTGTTTATGTGGCCGTGTGTGTATCTCGCAAACATACAGAGAGTGATAGAGGGGGAGGGGGATGGTCGGGTACTTACGAAACTGTGTGCGATGCCATTTCGTGTCCATCGGCGTAAAGATTCTGCACTTGACTGTAATCAGTCCATTCGTGAGAGACGTAGAAAGTGGCTGTTATTGGGCAGCCATTGGGGTTGACGCGTCCCTTCTCAAAAAGATCCATATACAATTGCTTATTCAAATCATTTACCGAATCATCAAAGGTCAAGAGTACGATTTGGGGAATGCTTTCAGCGGGCAGTTCGCCTGGCAGTCAGGACGACGATAGTATTGATGAAATGGGGGGTGATGAAATGTAGAGAAAACATAATACGATCATGAGGTGAATATAAACAAAGCATACACTTAGAGGCACATAGAAGGGACAGAAGACAATGAATGCCGCATGTAACTGATGTTGCCATAATCAAGATGACCCGACAGAGGCGAAAATCGATCGCAACTTACGACACCGTGTGCGAAGCCATTTCATGTCCATCCGAGTACATGTCCTGGACCATGCCATAGTCCGTCCACTCATGCGAGATGTAGAAAGTCGCGCGCCAAGGACATCCATTGGGATTCTTTCGCGTCTCGTTATTCAGTAACTCGTTATACAGATCGATATTAATCGTGTTAATCGCATCATCGAAGGTAAGCAACACAATTTGCGGGGTCACCGATACATTTAAGCCTCCTATGTGTTGTGAGGCATTGGGTTTAGTCTTAAATTGTCTTACAGCAGCATTAGTCGAAAGTCCGAAACTAATTTGCACAGCACTGCCGGAAGGGTCAAGAATGTCGATAATTAGCACGCGAATACTCACCGGGTATATCCTTGCCACCGCAGTAGCAATCGGGCAGTAGACAGACATCCTTGCGGCACTTGGCTGCCGTCTTATCGGGCGTCGGCTGTGGGTAAATGGGATCCGGTCGGCTTGGCGGATATTTATAAATGTCCACAAATTCTTGAGCCTTCGATACAATTGTTCCTGCTGGCTTAAGGGTGGGACGTGTGCGCCTGGCGATTGCATTTCATTCATATTATACTATTGTCTTTCCATAGCATGGGAGTAACTTACGGTGGATGTGTTCCCCTGTTTGGAGTGGCAACATCACGATCCTGATTTGTGTATATAGCACTGCCGCGGTTTCTATTGTTGTTTCTATATGCGATTGTTTTGAAATAAATAACATTCATATATCTCATTTTATTGAAATTAGTCAACAACAATTAATAAAGTGCGAAATGCCAACCAATTATTTTATGGTCTATAGCTACACAAATAACAATACAAGGTAAATAATATTCAGTTAATTTATGTTAATTGATCACCTTGCCACAACCAGATATAAATTATTGTTATTAATGTATATATATATNTAATTTCTTTAGATTAATCCAATCGATTTCTATTCAATAAATCAAAATATGAATTCGTTATGGCCATACAGCGCAGCTAACAGCTTGACTAGCCACAGAGTTGGGGCAGCTACCTCTCCTAGATGGCTAGAGCAGCCATTTATTGAACCTACCTCATGCTATGTGTGTGAGTGTGTGTATATATAAGTGTATGTGTGTATGTATGTATGTACACGTAAATTCATATCAGCAGCCAATTGGATCATATAATAATAAGAAGAACCAAAAATTGAATAGTATACTTATGTGTCTGTGTAGCGGGATTGGGCTGTAAACCTAGGCTGAGAACAATAAATGGATAGAATAAATAAATACAGTTGATATTTATTTGCTTTGTAGATTGCTGTAAAATATATAGTTCATTCACACTGACATCATTCGTACAGAACGAGTGTGGGTCGGAACAGCTCAACTTCATTGGCGCGAAACACATTCGAGATTTAGTGCAGATTTACATAAGACCTGTTCACATTTCCCAGCTCTTCTCAATGCTGAGTGTAAACACTGATACTAAATGGAAGCTCAGTAAAATGTGCAAGTGCAGTTCTATAGCAGATTTTTACAATATTTCCAATCGGAAGAGACTAGATATTCATGTAATTTCGATCCACATACTTACATAGAGTGGAGGGGCTAGATAAATGGGAAATTCAAACTTTGACATTTGAGYTTTGACATCATAATTTGTACATACATACATAGTTGTGGTATGCATTGATTATATTCATCTACATAAAACTAAAAGTAAAAGTGTTTGCCACAAAAATCATAGTAAAATCAATAATAATAAAGAAAACAAAAGAAAACAAATGTTCAAATAATTATAGAGACAAATATATGAGAATTATACGGGCCACCACCCAACGGTTACGATTTGATTTGATTACGTACTTATGCTCACCGTTCTGTATTCTGTACATTGTTGCAACATTTTACAGAGCAGCTAATATTTAGTATCTAATTATGTATCTTTGCACTAAATGTCTACGAATAATGTAAAGAGGCGAAGAGCTATGCAGTTGTAAAAGTGATCTAGGCATTATAGTGGTCAAGAAAAGTTTTAACAGTTTTCCTATTGGTTGTTTTTCTATTGACTAAGAATTAAAGCCGTAGTAGAAAGCCAACAAACAACCAGAGTTCTACGAAAGTGGGTGAATGTGGGTAATGAGGAAAGAGGACTACGTAAAAGTAAAGTTCTGTTGGGTTGGTTTTACAGGAGACTAGATCTGTGTTGAAAACAAAATTACGGTGAATTTGTATTTAAAGAGAGGAGAGTGATAATGCACAGGTACAGGTACAGGTACAGCTACTAAGGAGCGTTAATTAGAAATCACTATTTATACCTTGAAGGGATTTCGTTGCACTTGAGGTTCAGTGTGCTATCGGAGCACTTTACCGAAGCAGCAGCGACCGCGGCATTGGCATTGGCATTGTTGTTGTTGAATTGGTGTTGTTGTTGGTTGTTGTTGTTGTTGTTACTGTTGGGTGCAAGGCCATTATGGAATTTATTAGCTCTACCCCCTGGAATTTGATAGGTGGACGGGGTAGAGACCGGGCTAGACGATTGGGCGGCAGCAGCGGCAATAGATGACTTTAAAGCGTTATTAACCCTCGAGACTCGTGTTGTTGGCGGAGAACTTAATGATAGAGAAGGGGTGGCAGTCGTGGTTGAAATGTCAGGTGTGGTGCTAGCAGCGGGAGTGCTACTAGTTACTGCTGTGATTGCTTCAGCATCTAATTTTCTAAGAGTAGGGGGTGAGGGGAACAGTCTGGGTTGGTTGCCTATGGGCTTAGGCCCAATATATGGGGTTCGTGTGGTTGGCAGTGGTGCAGAAATAGTAGTAGTAGTAGTAGTAGTAGTAGTAGATCTCATTGTAGCTGTAGCATTCCGGCCCGCTAATTGAACTGGTCTTATTTCGTTAACAGAAGCTTTGATCTCTGCTCCGGCATTTTCATCTACGAATTGTGGCGACCCGCTCTCATCACTATCGCTGATAGAAAGGAAATGCTGTAGTTGCTCCAATACATTTGTACTTCGGAACTTGGGTTGACCACTGCTATTCTTAATATAGCCAGCGTTCTGCAGACTCTCGGCTAGTGTGCGCTCTGCCGTTTGCTGCCGATATTTGTTCGAGTACAAGTACTTGACTGGTGGCTGGTCAGATATAACAACAACATCTTCAATGGAGCTAGGAGATATCTCTGTGCTGACGGTCTGCTCTATGCTGTTGTCTTGCTTAACATCGAGTGGTTGGCGGGCAATCAAAGCTTCGGCACGTGGGTTATCTGCCGTTGCGGCTTCATTCTCACTTGGGTTATGTTTGGGTGCAGTTGTTGCTTCGCTAGTTGGCAATATCTGGGATGATTGGGTATTCTGATACCTGTCGACATTTTCCTTGGCCTGTTGAGCAGCCTTGTATGTTTCGTATTTTTCCCTTGACTTGACTGTTGGCTCAAAGATCGTTTGTCGATTGTTGGCGACTCGTCCGCGAAGCGTCTTCCTTCTTGCATGTGCTATAGATGAGGAGCTTCTTGGCTCATAACTGTGGGGTATTTTGAATTTAGGCGCATACGTGGTTGGCTCGTCAACACTATCCACATTATAGTTAACAGTAGCCGCAGTGTATCGAGACCGACCACGTGGACGCACGGGAACTTCAGACACTTGAATTGGGGGCGAAGTCACTACAGAGGATATTGTTGGCTCTACAACAGTAGTACTCAATGCTGCCTCTGTAGGTGATTTGTTTAGGGTTGTCGTTGTCGTCGCTTTTGTAGTGGGGACTCTATTGAAAACAGGTCGTTGGGGACTGAAGGTACTTAAAATAGCATCACTTATGCTAAAGTTGCGGATATTTCCGTTTGCCATTGTATCAAGGACGAATTGGGTTGCGTTCTTTTGTAGTGGGCTGGCAGTAACATAGCTCCTTACAGGTTTTTGTGTTGTTTGGAGAAACGGTACGGAGGCCGCGTTTGCATTTGCGTAGCGCGCTCTAGTAGTTGTTCTAAGACTGTTGTAGGGCAGCCGCTCGTCCTGGAGCAAGCTTTCAAGGCTTTTGTACGGGGAAACAAATCGCATGGCAGGGTTACTTGTCACGCGAATAAGATTGTCTTTAAACAGATTCGCACGAGCTGTAAAACTCTGCCCATCGCTCGATCGTCCGGTACTAGTATTTGAACTACTGACGGCTTTTGTTGGAGTTGGCGAAGTTAATTTAAATGTGCTGCTCGGCAAATCCGTGGCACTTGCTGTAGGGATTGTGGTAAGTCTGCTAGGTGCTTGCTTAATAGTTGGACGACCATTGCGCCAGATACGTAACGGAGCATATGTTGTCGGAATAATATCATAATACTCCACACTCATGTGATTAGCTGATGTCAGTGGCAAACGGGTTGTAGTAGTTGTAGTAGTAGTAGTAGTAGTAGTAGTACTAGTAGTTGTTGTTGTATTGTTTTTGAAACGTTGACCACTATCGGGGCGCTCGAACAGTGGCTCGGATACGTTATCCTCATTCAATGGTTCTTTAGCCGTCAAAGTAAACCCATGTGACCCGCTTTCAAGGCTGTACTCGTAAGCCTTGCTGGGTCGCGTTGCATTTGTGATCCCCGACAGTTCAGAACTCGCTTCCTTTGGTGCGTTCTGGCTAGTGGTTCTAAAGCTCTGAGGCTTCACATCAGATAAAACATAGCTCTGAATGCGTTTGCTTTGAGTTTGCTCTGTGGATAATGCCTTGTCTCTTTTAAAGTCGTTGTAGATATTATCCCTTATGTAGGCGGCCTTTGATGCCTTTCCTGTGGGCGTACGGACCAAGTTGCTGGCTCCATAGGCTGCGGCATTTATGAAATCCAGAAACTTGGGCGAAGTGCTTGTCTCATAAGCATGACCGCTTGGTATCTCTGCTGTGTGGACTTGCACATTTTTGCTCTCGTCGTAAATTGTCTCAACATACTTTTCAGTACTACTATTTGCACTGTCATTTGCCAACGCCCACGAATCACTGATTGAAGGTGCGACTGTAGACTGGACTTGGGACGGAATTTTGTTCTCATTGACACTTTGGCTTTGAGTACCAGCCACAGCACTGATCAAGGACTTGGCCAGAAACTGTAGCTTTGACTTAAGAAAGGGATTGGAAGTGTATGTGGGGAGGGCTGAAGGGGTTTGCTTTGCTGTGGTGGTCGAGAGAGCTATTGTTGTTGTACTGGATAGCTGTGTTGTACGTGGTGTTGTGGTTGTCTTTAATTTGATTATAACATTTTGCTTAAAGTTTTTATTTGCATGCGCTTTTGAGCTGTTGAAGAGATGTGTATTTATAATAAACAATCACATTAGTGTTAGTATAACATCCAGTTCGGGTTGTTGTGTATATGTAAGGGTGTGTGTGTATATATAATGTAATAAACAGCATATCTTAATCCTTTTGGCTCTGATTGATTATTCGACTAGTAATAGGAACCTTAGCTTCGGTGAATCACAATTGAAGATCTTATTATTAAGCACATGCCATGCGAATTTCATAACATCTCTCATAGTTAAGATGCATGAATACATATACATACGTATATTTATGTTTGTGTGTAGATATCATGCAATGATTTCGAGCTTTCATATCCTAAATAGTTTTCTCTACAGTAGCAGAGAACACAAAAGAAATTAGTGGAAAAATAAGTGTGGTTACAACCAGTCTGAATAGTGAAAAGGCGGAAAACTTTTCTAAACTGCGCACATGCACGTTGAATGTGTGTGGCAGCTCAGGTGAGTTAAATCAATTCGAACTGATAGTAAATGTGAACTAATTTATGTTTTTGTAGCAGAACAAACTGATGATTTGCTTATATTCGATTATTTCGAAGCCAATTAGCCGACGGCAAGCCAATTAATGGCTATCATAAAGAACTAGAAGGCTCAGGCAGGTCTACGTATGTGAATATGAGTACAGCACTGACTTATCGGGGGATTGAAAGTACCTTGAAGGTTGCAATGCAGTTGTAGTTGTAGTTGTTGCTGGTGTTGTTGTTGTTGTTCTTGTTGTAGTTGCAGGGGGCTTTGTGACTGGTTGTGTGGTAGTTGTGGTAATCTTGTTTGTATTCCTGCTTATGACTGTGGATGACTTTAATATCGGAAGGCGTGTGGGTGTCACTGTCGTGTACTTCTTTATCTGTTCTGTTTTAAAAGCCGAAGTGGACTGGCCGACGTCGTTGGGAATCAGATAATAATCGTCTGATTGAATTGATTTGGGAGCTTGAGTGCTCGGTTTAGTCTTCGATGGTGAAACTCGCTCGCTCTGATAATAGTCCGCGGGTAAATTTTGGACGTACTCTGAAGAGTAATCAGGCTCTTCATAGCTCATGTGGGGCGTGGTAAACGTGTCATAGTAGTTGCGCACATCAGGTCTTTGGGCCGGTGTTTTGGTTGTCGAGACAGTGGCCCTTGCCTCCAGAGTTTGTATGGTCACCTCTTCGGCCCTGGTAGAGAGATTTGTTGTAGGTGGGATGTCGTCGTTTTCGAGATGAAATTGTATGTAAATTTTGATGAATTTCGTGTAACGTATAGCTGATGTGGAGTTGTATGGTGTGTATGGAGTGTACTTTTGTCTTTTGTACTTTACTTGGACATGCTAGCTGACTTTAATCAACAGTATTTTTAAGTCTGTGAAGCTTCATTCTTTCAATATACTAACTAGCTGGGACATATACTTATATACTTGTGAGTTAGAATTTTCCGCGAGCTCGTTAGCGTGTGAGACATGAATTGCTACAAAACTTCAGTTCGAATGCAAACGGCCAGAGATTACTTACCGTTGTGGAGGAGGCGTAGGTTGGTCATATACATTATCCTGCTCGATCTGTAAAACGATTCGTTACGACAATATGATTGAATGATCTACTCTTGTATACATATATTCGAATGTAAGTGCGACCCCCTTGCCTACCTGTGCATTAAGGTCCTCTTCATAGTCCGTGTTATAGCTCAATGTTGGCTGACTGTTGTAGCTCTGCCTTTGTGGCGGTGTCGGCGTAGTCAATATCTCCAAGGGCCTATAAGTTGAYTGCTGCTGCTGGCGCACTGGAGGCTGATACTGCTGGGGCTTTTGCTGATGTTGGTGCTGCTCCTGCTGCTGTTGATACTCAATATCCCTATATAAATCAATATCGTCGTCGTAAACAGAATAGTATGATGAATCATAGGGGTTTGGTAAGGCAGGCGCCTGCTCTTGTTGTTGTTGTTGTTGTTGTTGCGGTTGTTGGAATGGTGACGGTTGTTGTTGTTGCGCCTGCTGTGGTGTTTGGTAACCACCCCCATGATTGAATATGGATGTATTGTAGTAGTTACGATTGGATGCAAACTGTGCCGGTGAAGCTTGTGAGCTTGGTTGGACAAAAATGTTATCGGAAGTTTGCGCCGTCAGCGACGATGACGGCGAAGATGACTCAACTCTTTATGCACAAATGTGGCGCAAGTTATATACATTAACGAGTATAATTTAATTAATTTAAATTATTGATGTCATTTTATAATACAAATGTGTATGTGTGTGTCAAGCAATGTATGTTTTCATATTTTACAGGGGAAGAGAAATTTAAAACAAAAACAAAAAGTAATTAAAACGTATAATTAGAATACTTCTTTACCTATATTATGAGATCATTTAGTAGTAGTAGTAGTCGAAGAAATGAGTTATAGCAGATGAGTTAGCGGGTGAAATTTTGGTTAGAGTAGCCCAGTCCCTACACAATAAGTTTAGTCAACTGTACAGATTTGGTAAGTTCCATCTGTTTAGATTTCTTAGTAATGGGTAAAAGGTCTGAACGTAAACGTATAAACAGTAGCGCCTGTGGGCAGTGGCATTAGTATTTTTGTTGTTTTTATGTACATTTCACTGCCGTATTTATGTGTATTTGTGTAGCGGCACCAAATAATTGAACAGCACATTGGTCGTCGACTTTTATAACTACCTTTGTCTTTCCGTGTTTGAAGTGGCATGTACCGAGTTCAAGTTCTGGCCACCTAAGCCATTATTGCTAGTGCTGGTTGGCTTGGTGTAGGCGGCCCCTCGGCTGGGCTCATTTTGCGTGCGCTCTAATCCGTCCGGATTACTCTGAACTTGGGACTGCCATTTCTGTTGTCCACGCGTGCGTTGTGGTCGTACAGTGTACCGGATTTTGGCCTGAGGTATAGGCGTCGTAGTGCTGGCAGTTGTAGTTGTGCGAACTCGGGCAGTGGTATGAGTGCTGGGCGCAGCTGTTGCCTGCAACTGTGGCAGCCGCTGCTTCAATTCCTGAAATATGTCACTTGGGAAACTGATGAACGCTGGAACTCCGTTGCCTGCATTGGGCTGATTAAGTTGCGTGAAATTAGGAAAGGGTCGACGCGTTGTTGTGGCTTCCATAAATCCGGTTTGTGGATTGTTTCGTATTTTACTGGCTGTCGTCGAAAGTGAACCCTCCGTTGTGACTTGTGGACGTGGTGGTGCCATTGTCTCCGACATGGGCATGTAGGGGGGCATGCGAGATGGTGGGAGCATGTCTTCATCAACTCCGTCATCGTAGTCCTCGTCATAGTATTCGACTGTTTTTTCAGTGGTAGTGGAAACTCTGCCCGAAGTTATCCTAGGACGCGTTGGACTGGTGGTCGTTGACTGATTTGAATTAGACACTTGTTTGCTTATCTGGGTTTGAATACTCTTCACGAAAGATTCGTAGCCCCTTAGAATAGGCGTGGTCGAAGCTTGGGTGGTTGTGCTAATTGGCAGCCTCGTAGGTATGGTAGGGCTTGATTTCAAGGGAGGTCTGGACGTTACTGGACTGGATGGCGTTGAGCTAATGACAGGTCGGCGAAGAACCAAGGCATTCCGAACATTTCCACTTCCATCATTGCTTACCTGCTTAAAATATTTTATTAGTGGGTTGACAGCCGGATTAAAACTTGCTAGATCACTGGCTTTCAGGTTTGCCATGAATTCATTTATATTGAATTGAAAATTGGTCTTCTGTGGCTTGGTAGTTGTTGAAGGCTTAGGTGGCTCCGGTTTGGGGGGCACCGTAGAGCTGACCGATTTGGTAAAAGTCTGATACGATTCTGGCAGGGTAGAATTCGAAGCGTAGCTGATGCCCACTGGCAAACGCGACAAACCTCGGAATGGTACTTCCTGCAGATCGTTCGGGTTTTTGTTAGCCAAATTGGGAGCCGAAACAATATTGAAGTTTGGCGTCACGTGCACTGGTGTGACTGGTGGACGAACTTTGATAGCGGCGTGCTCTATTTGATTAGGCTTGGCATTATTGTAAACGCCCTTCATTTTCTGATTTGCGACAATATTATATTGGAAGTAATTGCTCTCTGTCGTGCTTTGGGTGTCTGGACTTTGAGCAATGCTGAACTGAGATACCAGTTTGCCAGAATAGTTTGATATACTCGGCGTAAATTCCGGTTTATTATTATAAAAGCCACCCATGGTGCTGTATTGAGCGTAATGGTTGCTGGGCGTAACTTGTTGACTCGGCCTTGTCGTAGAATAGTACTCGAATGATGGCCGTTGGGTTGTCGAATGCGCGGTGAGACTTATCGGTTGATTGTCCAAATGAAAGTAGGCAAAGTTTTCAGCTTGGATCTGTTTCCTGCGCTCCTTAAGCTGTTTCAGTTGCTCTATAAGATAGGGAAGTAGGTCGCCTTGGCTCGTTTGTTCCGGATAACCTCCTGGTGGCCTTGAGCTTGTTGATCCGGCCGCACCATAGTAACTACCTGCAATCGGTCGAAAGTCGTCTTCCAATGGAGGCGGCGGTAAAGACAAATTATAGCCGGTGTAAACCACTGTGGATTTTTTCCCATATGTAGGAACACGTTCTGGTTGTTGCGGGTGTTGAGGCTGCAGATGTTGCTGAGGCTGCTGAGAATGCTGAGAGTGCTGGTGGTAAGCCTTATATCCAGTGTTAAGTTGATTGTAATTCTGGCTGGCGGGAGTGTGCTGGCTGGGAGGAGTTAGATAGGGATTGTAACTGCCAAAACTGTACCCGTTCTTCCCAGCCCCATTGTAAGGCTGGTGAAGTGGACTGTCTATAGAACGATAGTTATGCGTTGGCCATTTAGCAGGTGCTTGTGGAAAAGGGCGCAGCTGACGTGCACGCCGCTTGGACTCGGCTGTTGCAGTATCATCGCTATCTTCGATTGGTTCGCTGTTGTCTGAGTCTGCCAGCAAAAAGTCTAATTCGGTTTGACTAATTTTTGATGAGTATTTTTGCAGCTGGACGACAGCAGGCGCTGCATCGTCGAACTGTTCTTGAGAGGTATTCGAGTTATTGGAACTATTGGAGCTATTAGAGCTGTTTGTCTGTTCGCCACTGCCCAGTTGCTCACTGCTGGCACTGTCTGGCTCCATGACTTCGCTAGAGGTATTCGAATCGTTAGGCATTTCAGTAGGGCCAGCCACTTCCGCTGGCGTAGTTGACATTAAGCCACTAACATCGCGTCGTCTGCGTCCTCTGTCTACATCGAGTCGGTTATGTGACAGTTCGTGTTCAATTGTCACGTCGTCGTTTAAGCTTTCGCTGTTTGCGTACAGAGTTTAGCCGAAAAGCATTTGAGTCGATTGGTGTGTCAATTGAAGTAAAATATAGAGATAGTGCAGTATGCATTGTATGAGAAAAGAGAGTAGTAAAATGGGCGGAGAATAAATTTCAGATCAGTTATGAATTTGTTGAGATTAAAGCAAAAAGTAAATTACCATCAATTAAAAAAAATACAATTTTTAAAGCGACTGCAGATGAAACACTACTATGGATGGGGAGGCAAATCAGGCGCATAACTTACCTGTAAGCCGTCCCGAACGTGTAGGATCCGATCTTTCCGTGATTTGGTATTGCATTTATGCTGGCTTGGTGTAGAATGCCATCGCGGTCACGCTGCACTTGGCTAACAGTACTCGGTTGGCCACGATAAACACGTTGCTGACGCTCGCTGTCCTCCTCTTCGGGCAGAGTTTCATGCGCCTCGGCATAGAGCTTCGTGTACTAAATATGAGTTTAAAATACACCAACGACTATCGATTGGCCTTGGCTCACCTTGGCAATTTCCTCCTGCGATTCAAGAAGCGACTTGGGCTGTCCTCGGGACGTGACCACTGGGTTGGGAGCAACAGTGAGCTCTGGAGGTGGTGGCAGATGCTGAACCTGAGCCTGGATAGTCTGGGGAGGTGAACGATGGTATTGCGGTGGAACTGTGACTGTTTTTTGTGTGGCCGTGGGACTGGTGAAGGCGGACCCAAAGCGAATGCGACTGGGAACATGCTGCTGTGGCTTGTTACGTGAGGCACCACCTACTTCGGTAGAGGTTGCTGACGTGCCACTGTCCACCACTTCGCAGCCTACATTTCTGGGCCAATCACAAGTCTGCAGTTCGTGCGAGTACATCAGTCCCCCAGTGCAGCTCTCAAGTAACGCACCACCAAATACGCACACATAATACTGTGTGCAGTCCGAGGGATGGGGATAGTATCCGAACTCTTCGGGACAGTCAAAGTTGACGCCATTGGAGCTGGCTGACTTCACATTGGTGCCAAAACTGCGAGAGTTGGTGACGCGTGGAGCTCGTTTGCTTTGCGCATCTGTTGATCCTGCAAAAAGGAAGCCCGAGTTAATGTTTATGCAACGAATTCGTCATTAAAATATCAAAAATCATTCTACACAATCTACTTTACTCATTGCACACATTCAGCGCAGCAAATATTGTTTGAATTACCTAACCTGAACACACTTCTCCATTTGCGAACAGAGTACAAAAGTTGATCCACAAGTTGATCTACAAGCTTTTGTGCAGAAATCTAGTCGCCAGCCCACACAATGCCATTTATCGTTAGGAGAATATTAACAAAGTATTGAAACTGATTAGCTATTCAGACAATTGAAGCTGAATTTGAATTGGGCCCGATTCGCTGCAATCAGAGCTATACCAATTTTGAAATAAAAGTAACTTGGCCGAGACAGCCTCAAATGGCACGACCAACTTGAGCGGCTCGCCCAAGGCATGGGCGCAATGCAATAATTAGGGCGGAAGTTGTGTTTACTCTGTTGCTTAGCATTTGAGGCACATATCTGGGTTGCAATATTTCTGTACTGACAGCTGAAACCACAGCTAATAAATTAAATGAATTGCAGTATTAAAATTATGCAAGGAGCTCCGTTGGCGCACGATATTATTCAACCTTCGATTTTCAAATGGGGTTTTTTGGCTTAAAAACCTAAAGCTTAGAATGTAAGCCAGAGTAGTATAATCGACATAGCTTTTTTAGGTGTTTTTTTTTTTTTTTCAATTTAATAGCATTTATTTGGGACACTGTGGCTTGGTCTGTACCCATTCGTTTTTTTGACCCACCTCAATTGCCTCAGACCCAGACATACACAGAGGCAGGCGTCGGACTGCAACTGAACATTATTATGCTATACTTTAATTGTAACGTGAGCATTTTCAAACAAAAACAAGTTATAATAACGTGAAATCGGGCTGCACTTTTGACCAGCCACAAGACGGCGTAAGGCACCTTAAATATATTTTTTGAGTAACATAATATATTTCGCTTGATAGAGACACCTTTTCCCAAAACAAATTTACATTCACTTTTTACTTTTCCATTGTTCCCAATAACAGTTTCTACGCCAGATAAGGCCTTGTCTGGCGCTTTGGCTTTCCGTCATTACTTTAATTGACTGTAGATGAATTGTTAATTACTGTTGACCAATAATATGCTTATATATGCAACAAGTTAAAATTACCTACTCTTCTGATGCCCAATTGAAAATATAGAAAATTGGCTTATCGAAATTATGCAAGGGAATGGGACCGATTGAAGAGGCCAACCCTATAAATGCAAAGTATTGTTGATCCCATTTCGGTCAGCTGATGCGAGGCATTGTTTCGAATAACAGATGAGGATGTGCGAAAGCTCTGCAGGGTTTGTTTACGTTGTGCGCTCTCAAGTGCGCATTCTATTTTGCTTGCACATACATGTTTTTCTAATGGACGTCACATGAGCAATCATGTCAAGGCTGCTGGATAAGATCTGCTTAGCATGCAGCACGCATCATAGCTTGTATAATTATCACACAAAAGCGTCGCTGCTTTCAGTCCCGTCTGACCCACTCTTTGACTGAGTGATATATGCGCTGTGGCCGCCAGTGCCAGCTGCAAAGGTAAGCTAATCACGTGCCAATGCAAAAGTCTAGTGTCGTCGTAGCCTAGGATGACATTTGTCTTGGCCAGCCAGCCGCCAGCCAGCCAACCAGGCAGCCAGCTCCAGCTACAACACACTTGGCAACACATTTGCCGATTCATTGTTGCCGTTTGTACTTTCTGCTCCACTAAACAAAATGTGTACGTGGATTTGCTTAGCTAGTTGCTAAGAGCATGGCTGGGTTGTGTTATGCAATGCACAGTAATTCGGCCATAAGCCTGATTGGCTTTATTTTTATTTGTTTTTTTTTTTTTTTTTTTTTTTTTTTTTTTTGTGGGTTTGTTCAACGCTTGTCGATTGCTTCGCTTTTGCTGCTCTACTTGTTCAAAAATAAGAGCAACACATTACGCGACTTTTATTGAAAGTGAAGTACTATACAGCACATAAAAAGGCAACCTGACAAATACTTAGACAATTTGTATGGCGGCTACATAATATCTATTGATACGCTTTTCTGTCGATTGACAGGAATTTATGTGGCTTTACTACTTCCGGGCATTAAGTCTGCTATTGAGGTCATTAGCTTATTAACTTATTTCTACTCGGTCTGCATTTCCGAGTGCTAACTTTATAAATACACTTATTAATTGTTAAATTTAAAACGTTTTCAGTTCTGCAATTGATACAATTTGTTGCTGAGTTTCAAGTATTTTGCCAATGGCTTTATAATTTTAATTAATTTTTTTCTTAATTGCGTTTGCACACCTCGTATTACAAATTAATCATGATATCTCCTGTGTTTGTTTTCTTGTGTCTATGAGCTCGGTAGGTGCGGTCCACAATTAAACGCACGCTTCGTAGATGGAAAACAAGCACTGGTCAGCTTTCAGTTTTTAATCGATTGCACAATTCAACGAGAAGGCGTATCGGAGACCTCAAGGCAAAATTTCGGCGAACAGACAAACTTTACTTCATTTTGCCGTATTGCTATTTCTTTTGTTGCCAGCATTGGATAGCGGAGCGGCGATTACCTTGCGATCGCTTTGCATGTGCGCAGGAAGTTTGGGATCGTTAGTTGAGATTTTCCTTTCTAAAACCGCCGTTTCAGTCAACAGTCACTTCCTGGGTGCACAGCCACGACAAATGGCTCAAATACTATTGCCTCCAGAAGCGACATCGAGTTATGCGACATAAATTATTTTTATGAATACACTAAAATTTGTTCACACTTCTATAAATGTAAAGAAAAAAGAATTCGCACTCGAAATATGAGTGCCATAAAGATTCAGATTAAACGTGTTTGCAATAAATTTCTCAGCCATTTAGTGATAGCCAATAAATTACCTTATTGATTTGCATCTCGCGGCGCATTTTGCTATAATTAAAGATTTATGCGAACGAGAATCGCCAACATCATGCATAGATGGTTTGCGCAATGCGTTGCGAGCTTCTTTGCCTTTTGAGTGTCGATAAATAATCATAAGCCGACAAGTGCACTGCGCCGAGTATCCTATCTTTTCCATTACTTCTACTCAAACAATTGTCGCAGGCAACGAAATTAAATGACTGAATGCCTTCTAGCCACTGTGGTGCTGTACAGTTGCCATTCGTTTCGATACACAAAATTACTCTGATATGCAGTGGTATGTGCCGAGCTCAAAAGTGAGAGCTATATTGGAACCCACTATTTTATGCACCACAAACAGGAAATATACAACTATGCAACATTCGCCAGCTTTTCGACTTTTCCACTTTTTGCTACAGTTGCTATTTTTGCTACGGTCAGCTGTGGGCCCCACTAAATACATTGGCTACACTAGAGCCGTATACATTTTTGGCAATTATGTAACATGGCTCCTGGGCAGCATTGACACATATAGAAACTTTCAGTTTGTCTAAAATTAGTTTGATATGAACTGTAAAGAACGCATATACATTTAAACTAACAAATTAAATTTTTTAAGAATGGCAATATTAATTGCCTCAGTAACGTACGTTACGTACAATTTGACAATAAATTTACTTAAACAATTTGTCGTCTTTCGGTTTAATGCTAATGCTACTTTAATGTAGATTTATTTTGGCAGTGTGTAATGATTTGTTAATGAGTAAGCTTAACGTATTTACTGAAATATTTCGAAAAATACCTTTACATGGAGACTTACCGTTTTAAAATGTATATACACATTGTTCAAAAACTATCCCTGAATTTGATATAGGGAGAGACTGAGAATCTTATGTTAAAGATTTCGAAGTATTTTTTCTAACTATGTACTTGTATATATAGATAGATATATTCACTCTAGTATGCTTCGATTAAATTATTTTTGGTCACAGTGAATGTTGCCGAACAACGCCAACTTCGACCACAACAAAAAGTAAAACACAACTAGCACGAAAAGTGGGTCAAACTGAGAATATTGCATAAGATGTAGACACAACACTCACCAGCATACATACATACATACAGATACAAGCTATTTGAAATCTTGCTGCTAGTTGCAGCAACTAGACCACGCGACGTCGACAGCCAAAGCGACAACGGCAACAGCAACAGACACAGCAACAACAAAAGCAGCACAAGCAACACCAACACCAACAGCAGCAGCAACAGAAACAGAAACAACATCAGTGGCTCAGTGTGGCGCAAGTCTTGCAGAGCACATTTAAAATGCGGCAAGCCACGCCTGCTTCAAAATCGATCACTTTCGCATACCAGTAAATCGAAGCCAGGCAGCCAGCTGGCTGGTGTGCCACAGCAAGAGCTGCAGCAGCAGCAATAGTTTTCGATGTGGCCTGCTACTTTATACGGTGCAGTGTGCTGGATGGTTTTTCTGTTCGAGTGTCGCATTTGCAATGTCTGATCGGTGGATGGCTGCCTCAAATTGGTTTTTAGTCTCCACTTGGGCCATCGCATTGCGGCGTTGCTAATGTCGCTATTTCGAGAGTCTACTATGAAATCTGGATAGACTGCGATTACGAGAGTTACGCTCGATCAGTCACATGTAAATTTCTTCAATATGTGTAGAGCTTTCAGTATGACATGAAATGATTTATTAAATATTTGTGTCTATTTAAATTTTGATATCTCTTTGAGGTTCCTGCAATGATCTATTCCCGACTGATCTGAGGTTAATACGCAAATTCTAACAAGATTACAGAGGTCAATGCACCGCCAGCAGACCATAAGTTAACCGTACAGATGGAGCCGATGAAAGGAAAGATGAATAATACAATTACAAACTCGCAGACTGTGACAACCAAAATTTACATACAGAAAACAATTTTTGCATTTTCCAAACAGCCAACAATTTTAGCATCATCAACGGACTACAGATACTACAACAGCCGTTCCACGTTCCATGTTCCACGGCCGTGACGCTCATTTTTCAGTTCAATTAAATTTGAAAGAAAAACGCCCCATTGACTCCAGCGGCAGAGAGGTC